AGGCTATTTTCATCAGGCTAATTAGATAAAATTAAAAGAAATGTACCGCTTTTTACTTTTTCCATCCTGCCCCAAGGAGAAACATGGAGCCCAATTAACGGCAGCAAAAATTAGCTTCCCCGGAATGACTCCAGAAAAATATAATCTCGATAAATTAGACAAACAAAAACTTGATAAATTAGGCAAAAATGATGCATTTTTAGAACTATAAAAATCTTACAGCACAAAACAGCGGGAGACTACGGCGAAACCTTTTCGCGTCCCTATCATTAAATTAACTGTAGTAATCTCACAGCGTCAGATGAAAGCAGGTGTAAATTCCTTATTTTTTTCAATTAGGAGCTCCAGGCCAACAATTAGAAATAATCAGAACTCAAAATTGAAACAACAAAGATGTCATTCACGACAGCAAAACCCGGTCGGTAGAATGGATGAAAAAATGTACAGTTAGTGTGCGCGTCACTCAGGTAGACTAGCTAGTAATTACGTTGATTGTCATTAACTTCATAGTTAGTGTTCATGGTTATCATTATATCATCGTGTGCGAGTTATTATCAACGATAATCTTTGATCGGGAGAAAAATACTACGAGCAGTTCCATTGATCAAATGTTGGGAAATTTTCCAAATTAATTGGGAAAACATTTCGGAGAGCGGAGGAAAAATTAAAATTGGGATAAATATAATTGTTTTTGATTTGTAGATCGTTCACAATGAACAACAAGTGTGAATTGAAGTAAACAAGCACAACAAAAGTGAGCGGCCTCTTCCATCTGATAAAGTGTTCAGCTCTGAGAGGAAATCGGATCAAAAGTGGAGGGGCCCTTCATAACAGATTAATAATGAGGCAATTGCACAGTGCTGGCAAGGTAGATTTCAGTAAAGGAAATTTTATTGATAAAATCTTCAAAACTAAAATATCGCTATAAATTCAAATACAGGCCATAATTAGTTCAATTTGATCGATCGTATTCTGCACTGCAGCTTCATTAACTTTGAACTATCTCTCCGGTAGCATAAGCAAAAAGGTTTTGCGTGAGACCCGAAACTATCGGGTTATCAATTAAGCACGCAAAACACTAAGCGATTCGAATCAATTTGTGGTCTTCTTTATGATTAAAACCAAAAAAATAATTGCAGCTAACAATAAGCAAAAAAATTTATTACCTTTTCATAAGTATTTTACTGAAGCTCTTGCCAAATAAAACAAACTTTTTCGCTAAAAAAACGAGATCTTTGTGGCCATCTCTCTGCAAGCGTGGCTTTAAAGGGTAGACACCCTTTTTTAAAGGAACTCGTCCCCGTGATCCATCAAAGAGTCCCCCTTGGGTACTCTTTTATGATATTCATTTTCAGCCGACCCGCCCTTAATTTTTTCCTAAGGTGCAAATACATACTAATATTGAGTGGGGTGAACCCGTCAAAAAACGCAATTGTTTGGTCAAAACCGTTCAAAAAGTGCCCAAAAATGACATTTCTGCCCGTTTTAGCAGTAAAATTTGACAACCTTAGGTCTTCGTAGTTTTTATAACGCTTGCTAACCACAAGCGTAAAGAGAGCTCAGAACTTAGGATCGACCTAAAAAAAAGTTCGACACAAATTTCTTTGAGTCCTGTCGAGCAAACTTTAGCCGCCCCTGCCTTCGCGCTGAAAGCGCTTCGCTACGGAAATGGATTACTTTCTGCGCTTTTCAGTTTTGAACGACCTTTTTTAATGAACGCCAAATATGAAAAGATAGTCGGTTGCTGTTCAAATAGCACAAAATAATCCGACCAGACTGGTTTAGGAGAAGAAATCGATGTTATCATGTAGTAACGCGTTGTTTGGGCGACTTAGCTTGCCTCAATTCCATTTGGAATGATTTCCGAGCCGGATTGTTTTGCCACTTGCGCTATTCGTCGATAAGAAACGTAAGTAGCGCAAATTAATTACCTCAAAATGGCTACATTAACCCCAATAACTTCGCAAAAAATAATCTCAGCCTACCAGGCTGCGCAAGTAGGACAGACGGTTCCGAAAAACTTGAAACCGCAACGAAAAGCGAAAAAAAATTCTCGTTTTTTAAAATGTTTGTCGATGTGTTTTTGTGCATGTAAGAGTGTGTGTGAAGGGGGAGAGACTAAAGCTACCTTTTTCCTCACTGCTGATTTATATTTACAAATTTTGTTCGATGTTGGTTGATTCAAACTTTCAACTTTGTTCTTAAAAATCTTGAATTTTACTGAAATTGTCAATTTGAACCAAATAACCCGAGTAGAGTCTCAATTGACTGGCCTGGCCGGACTCATTTTGACCCAATTATTCTTGACGCCATTAAAATTTTTGATTTCATTTTCGAATCCGAATTACAAAGGTCATATATATCGTTCCAAAAGATCTAGACCATAAGTCAGTTAAGGCTGTAGTTTCTTAACGATCCTAAGCGGCTGGTCAGGAAAAAAAAGAGCTTGCCTTCAAAAACGAAGAAATCTAAGCCTAATTTTTTTATTTGAGACAAAAGCGGATGAATTTTGAACTCAATTAAAGTTATCCAAGATGAACTAAGTTCTTGTTTTCAAAACAACTCTATATCGATTAATAATTGGAGATAATACCAATGATAATTCGCTGCGTTATAAATTTCAAGCAAATACGGGCCATTTTTGAATTTGAATGATTCAGCTATTTCTAAACTTCATACCATCCAGGCCTAGCCAGGCCATGTCACAGCAACACGTGCAAAGGTGCGTGAGCCTGTTTGGGACTATTTATAGCACCTGGATCAAAACATAGGTCATCGTTGTTATTCATGTTAACTTGGCCATTGAACCAAATGGTATTTAAACGCCAAATCATGTGGATCCGTTTAAATTTTCAATTAAACAGGATTTTCGGCACGACTTGCTTGTTTCCAAAAACAAACTCTTCAAGAACACCTCAATCTTTATATTTCGAATAAAAGAAAAACTCAAAACAATTCAAAGCTTCATGGTTGCTTTGGTAATTCAATTCAAAATATCTCAAAAAGTGGTCAGCATCAAATTCAAGTACTATTTGAAAAATTCTTATAACTGTCAATATTATTTATAAATAATTTGACATAGTTAAATACTTTAATTGATAAGATAAATGTAACTCCCGCTGATAATTAGAGTATCTTTTTAATCGATTCAGTTATTTTTCACGCAGTTCCTTCGTTCTGTTTGGCTACTTTTTCAACCAATCACATTCGCCATCGCATTACTTGACGCATTTTTTCAACAAAAAAATTAAGTTACGGCGACAGCAATAACAAGACAATTAAAAAGTACATTTATTTATTCATGCTCACTTCATTTTCTCACTTCGGTTGAGCTAGATATAACAAACAAATTCCAAACTAATCCCTAATCCTCGGAAAAACTTCCAAGGCGAAAAAGATTCAATCTACATCTAGTTATTGTTCAAAAGCGGAACAAGTAGCGGCCATAATTCAAAAAGCGCAAAGATCCATTTTGAGAATTAACTGGAAAATTATCTGATTATGTTCAAAAACTTAGCATAAATTTGAATTCTGCTCCAATTCATTTTCATCAATTAAACAATCAGACTCAAGACGACAGCAGCGTCGTCTCTTAGTGACAGACTTTCTGCAAACTTCGCACTTCATTAACTGGTGAGTGATTAAAAATAGAGTTTATGATAGCTATCGTAATCGGAACACTGTCAACAAACACTTTAGAAACGAGGTTTTTCTACAGATTCTGCTTTATTAACTAAACAAAATAAGTAGGGCAAAATAGCGAGAGAAGATAGCCCGGTTTATTTAGTTCTGGAAACGGGTTGTGCCGTCAAGCTGAGTGGTAGGGCCGAGTCATTATCCCCCGGCAAAAAATAACCCTAATTGTTAAAACGGGCTATTGCCCGTACACCTAGCAGACAAAATAAACCATTTTTATAGTGTTTATTGCCCCAAGTTCACAAATATTTGTGCCGACTCGCAAATGCCAAGACAAGTTCGGCTCTGGCTCGCGGGTTAAATAGGGAATGAAAAATTATTTAGCAAAAAGTCCAAAACAAGAGCTGAAACCATGTGAAGCTAATTTGAGTTCTGTCTAGTTCAAACTTTCAATTGGGCATCAAACCTGTTGAAATTTGAAGACTAGCCTTAAGTCGTTAAAACGCGCTAGACGATAAATAAAATCCAGTCGAGCCAAGCCAGATATTTATCAGAAATTTTTGGAAAACTTCAGAGGACACAATTGCAATTTATCTCAATTAGAAAACACCTATCGCCGAATTAATCACTGAACTCCTTTTTCAAACTCAATTTTGCCTCTTAATTTAATTTTTACTTCGATTATTCAAAAATCCCTATCTTGCTTCACTTTTCATAAACATTATCTACTTGTAGAAAAACCGAAAAAATCATGAAAAGAGGATTGCAAGACGTAATTTATTAGCGGAGCATAAGCCGCAAAATAAACAATTACGAGTTTTTCCGGTTAGTGGGTCATCACAACAGCGACCCATCAATCGTTGAATTAGACCCAGCCAATGTCTTTTTATTCCACCCTCCACAATTCGCTTCTTTCCCTCCAGTCCCTCTTGTCTCGGGGTTGTGGCTAACCTAGTTCGGAGCTGGAGTCGCAATTAAATTGGACAGCCTTACAGGTGATATAAATCAAGCTGACCCCCTTAGTAGCCGGGGATCCATTCCCGGTTATCCCCTCTTTATGGGCCAGCGAGGGGCTCCGCTGGAGAGTTACAACTACAGCCTGGTCTGCGCAACGCCGCCGCGGCGACATCTGAATTCTGCAAAACCCAATTTGGGCTTAAATTAAAATTCAAACCAGTTCAATATCGAAAAAGTGAAACGGTCTGACTAAGTTTATTAACTATCACTTTCATGAGAAACACTCGAAAATTGAAAATCTCGACATTTATTGGCGTCGTATTTATGCTCACTAAGAACTTGATGCTTTGTCGCAAATATCGACTTTGATTTCTTCGAACGTTTTGCATCAAAAACTTTCACTTTAGATACCAATCACAGAGATAATGCTGCTCTCAACCACCCAATCAGCATTCCGCAATAACAACAACGCGCAACACAGCCAGCTTTCCTCTCTTACTAGCCCAAGCAAAGATGCCTCTTCGCCAGGTCAACAAGAGGTCAAGGGCTCGCCAGTCGAAACCACAGGGGTTAAAGTAGACCCGACATCCGAGGGACGCCAGGAACCAACGGTTTTACTCTGTTTCCACTGCGGCCAGATGTGTGCCAGTGCGTGGGAACTAGTACAGCATTTCAGCCAGTTCCACAGCCAGATTTATGCTCCTGGAGCAAATATATCCATCTCGGCAAATAAAGATACACCAGCAGTTCATACTGAATCTAAAACAGAAAACGTAAAAACAGAGACTGATTTCGAACATTGGAAGATGGAAGTTGATGAGCCTAGTCTATTCAAAGAGTTGAAAGATAATCGAAAAATGTCAAGCCTCAAAATCTCAAAAGTATGTATTTTACGTTTTCTTTCCAAATTAACCAAAATGTCTTTTCACACTTCTTTAACATTGTTAACTCGACTTATAAATTGCGGTTGGGCACCAGTTATTGCAAATTTGACAGTTATTTGAAAATTGCGAAGTAAGAAAAATTGGGGTGACTTGAGTGGCAAGATGAAAAGCGCCAATTCAGTGGCCAACTGCCAAAAGCAGAATCCAGCAAAACACTTTCAACTTCCATTTAACACTCAGTCCAAGTCTAATTCTTGACGCCCCTCACACTTCTGACCCACAAAGGGTAATAAAAATAGCGGGAAGGGGGGCTGGTTGTTGGTAGAATTTAATCACTTGAGGTACTGCTGTCCTGGTCAAACAAAAAGGCACTTCGATCTTATTTCCTCGGAACACAAATCCATCTGTTTAAGACATTAAAAGTGAACATTCCTCAAATATACTTTTTTCCTTAGCCCCAAAAAAGAGTTAAATCAAATATTGATTCCAAGTCTGCAATGGAAAGTACAATTAAGATCCATTCATTCATTGTGCAAATAACTTTTTGCAACAATATCAATCTTAAAATTCGGCTAATTAAAGTTTTTAACCAATGGTTCGTTTTTTTTTCAGATTAACTTTTCTCGAGGGCAAAGATCGAGTTCAAGATTGGGAGTTGTTCATTCTGCCGTCAAAATTAAAAGCAGATCTGCATTGAAGAAGTACCTCAAAACTTGCAAGGAAGAAGGGCAAAATACTAACTGTGCCCGTTGCGAGATCAATTTCAGCTCGGTAAGTTCCCAAAATTATCAAATTATTGCTAGATTTGATTTTTTTTAAAAACAAACTTTCCGCTGGTTATTTGTGTTTTGAAATTTTGAGCAAAATTTTTCTTTTTGCGCATTAAATTTTCCACATCTAATTTTCTTTTTGAACTATTTCTTGTCCGCGGAAGTTACATTTTAAAGCTGGGATGTTTTCAACCCGCCTCATTTGCTCACTCACAATAACCAGTAAATAGACACCCCCCGTCATTAATGGGCCTTTAGGAATGTTAGCCTCTCTTTCTGGAAATGAGAGAGCGTTGGTCCTGTAAGGCGATCGGACGAATCGGTTGGGCGGATGTACAGTGACAGGACAACTGAAGGAGAATTAAGAGTCGAATCAATTTAAGAGAAGAGTTGCAATCCAAAATCAAATTGCAAATTGATAGATACAAATTGCCTCACTTTATATTCTCTTTTATTGTTATTGCCAATAGGAAGACTTAAAAAATTGGCGAAAGGTCATTTGAAAATATGGCCAGGAAAAATTTAATTAAGCACCAATTTATGATCTCGCGAAGTTGTATTTTAGCCGTGAAAATTCACGAGGACAGTTATTAAGTGGGAAATAAACAGATGTGTGTTAAATTATTTCTAAGGGACAGCTCAATTAAGGAAAGCATCAGCAGAAAAATACAAGAGAAAACTGTTAAAAACAGTCAGTGAAAGCAGGGAAGATATGAATAAAAAGATAGCGGACAACACATTATAGTTTACTCGGACTGAGCTGAATAAACATGGGTTGATAAATACATTATCGCAACAATTATGACTTGATTTATTAACATTTTCCGATTGTGAAGAACAGGTAGTCCATAAAAGTGACTGCACTGCAGTCCTGTACAGACTGAAGATAAAGACATAAAAAGGCTCCCGCGAGTTTGTTTTTGAATTGAAAAAATGAAAAGGCCAAGACCATTTGCACTACTTGTGTGAGCTAACAACAATTGAAACTAATGTCAGTCATTGTTAAAAGTCCATCGTAATTGGCCCCTCCATAATGTCAAATAGACGACGAAAACTAACTAAAAAGCCCAAACAAATTTGTTCACCACTTTCAAATTTCCAATTTAAATGAACCGAACGCGAAAACAAAACTCAACAGCACCTTAGTGAATTGAACATCAAAGACACCTTCACCCCTTAACCAGCCGTCCTGCATTTTTGAAATTGAAGCAGTAGCTAACTAATTGAGCGGTCCAACCTCACAGTCGTGGTTAATTATTTTTTCCACAATTTTAAATAAAAGAATCACCTAACAATGATTGGCGTTCTGAATGGACCGAACTAACTAATGCTGAATACCAATCATAGCTGATTTTATAATTTACTATGTTTCGAAACGTATTAGTCAATTTTTAATATCAATATTAATAAAAGCTAAATTTATGTTTTAGATCACCAAATTGAAAATCCATTTGCGAGCTCATCGGCTTAAATTGTTGGAAAGAGGACAAAAGAAACCCCAAGATTTCAGCGTGAAAAAAGAAAACCAGAAAATGAAATCGGAAAACGCCACTCTTTTTGTCGACACCTCGTCGCCAAACAGTGCAATGGAAACGGCAGAGCGTGAAGAGAAGTCGCAAAAATCTTCAAAGGAGTCAACAAAATCAAGCAAAACATCAGGGGGAAAGATCCATCGATGGTTTGCCGATGAAGAGCAGGATAAAATTGTACAGCCCACATCTACGCCTAGATATGAGTTACCCGAAACAATCTTAGACAAATTCAAACAATCAGCGTCTAGAGGTTCATTTAACATACCATGCACTGAAACATATTCAACAGCCACTGGAAATTTACGAGATCCATCGATCCTTCATAGTAAGCTACTCCAGGATAAAACCAGGCCAGGCGGAATGGATTTGTCTAATCCAGGCAAATTGAGCGAGGTCAACAAATTCCCCAACATGGTAGCGTCATTAGCGTCGGCCGGGAACATTCCAATCAACCAGATTCTTCAGCAACAAGCAATACTTCTCAATGGCTCGGTTCCAAATGGACTAGGATTGGATGCTGTTTTATTGAGCAAGCTATACCAGCAGCAGATTCAAAACCAAATCAACCAACAACAACAACAATCCAGGGTCCTGAATCCCAACGTTTCCGTCCAGGCACCGCCTACGTCACAACGCATTCACACTTCTATCCCATCATCCTCCGTGAACAGCTTTGGCATTCCGCCTAATGTACTCAATTACTCAACCCTAGCTTCGCTCGGACTACCAGGAAACTTAAACGCCATGGCTTTTAATCACTCACAAGGCAACAATGCAGTAAAACGCTCACTTATATCTTACCAACCCATTTCTTCGAGTCCATCCAGTGAGAAAAGCCAGCACCCATTTATGGCTATGAGCGACAAACGAAGTGATATCAAGACGATTCCTAACATTCCAGTCAACAGTTCGACCCTACCAGCACATATGAGTCACCTTTTCCAACAACCAACGTCACAACACCCTAGTTTTCCCATGAATTTCTCGCAGTACAGTAAAATAGGGACGGCAGCAATTAATCAAGCGCAATTCTTCAACGACAAAAACGGATCTCGAAGACCGGATGCTGAATCTGAGTTTGCACAACGTTCACTATCCAATGAGCTGCTCAAAAACTGGCTGCTCAATTCCAAGAACCCCGCTTCACTTTTACAGCAACCTCAACTTAATGGATACAGTGCATTATACAACACTGTCCAAAATAACTCACACTTGAGCTCACGAATTGCCGCCAATCTAGAATCCGCAGCCAAAATGTCGATAACAGCACCACCTAAACCTCCTATGTTTGGATCCCAGACTGCCTCATCAGGAGGTATGCAGGGTTCCGTTACTTCGACATCATCAACCGGAAGTCGAAGAACCGACACGTGCGAATTCTGTGGAAAAGTGTTCAAAAACTGCAGCAACTTGACCGTTCACAGACGCACGCATACAGGCGAAAAACCATATCACTGCACGCTGTGTAACTATGCGTGTGCACAGAGCAGTAAGCTCACACGTCACATGAGAACGCACGGAAGAGAAGGACGAGAGACGTTTCTGTGCGACATATGCAAAATGCCGTTTTCGGTCTATTCGACTTTAGAGAAGCACATAAAAAAATATCACGACAAATTCTGATAGCTTTCCCTGGCAGACTCAAAACTCTTAATTTATGTCTAAATTTATCCAATATTATTTTGCTGTGCAATATCTTAATTAGTAACAAAATTTTGAAGTATTGAAGTTTTTTTATATACTGGAGCAAAAACAAAAATAACTAGCGAATGCATGATGTTCTGCTATCATCTATTATCATCTTCATATAAATTTCAAAAATCGAAACAAAACAAAAGCGAAACAAAGAGCGTTACAAAAAATACAATTCAGAGGCGAAGCAAAAAAAAGAGTCAGGAATGGTAATTTCACAAATAAAGGAGCAAATAAAAAACGCTTGCAACACATTTAAAAAATCAGTGATGTAGCAACTAAGGAGGGGGTATTTTCCAAAAAAAAATAGTCGAACATTTTTAGGTCGACCAAAATGATTTTCCGAGCTCTCGCAAAGCATTAAAAAGACCATTGAAACAACCAAAATTAGGTCACTAAACCGATAAAAGATAGGCCGAAATAATTTGGGCCGAACAAAAATTTTAAGCGAAATAAAAAAATAAACCTGCAGTCAAGGTAAGTAAAATTACAAATTGCATGAGTTAATCAAAACAATAAAAGCAACTAAAATAAAAATTGCGGACAGCGTCAAAAAACGATTCTAAAATCCGGCAACTAAGACTACAAATTATCAACAGACAAATAAAAGGCTGACACTTTTATTTCAAACAGAATATTTCCCGTTAAAAAAAGTTTCTGGTCAGATTTGAACCTAGTACCTTTACGGTCCCAGGCGTATTCGTTATCTCCAGGCTAATTGCGTCGGAGACGTTAAACAATTTGAATTATTATGAACCAATTTACGACCAGGAGATGAGTCCAGATGAAACCTGTGAACAAAGTTGTTTTCAGGAAAAACAATCTAGTACCCAGATTTGATAGGGTAGTTTTAAGAAAATTCAAAAACTTCCTAAAAACTGTCAATAGTTTATATATTTTTTTGTACAGAAAGCAGGCCGAGGCCCCGTAAGTACAGAATAATCCCAAAGACGGTTTTTCGATAGACCAATTCAAGTTTTTTGCCTGAAAATTGGCACGGTAGTTTTGACACTGAGTAAACTGTAAAAAAATTCCAAAAAAGTCTGTCAAAGTTATGACACCATTGTCAGAAGTTTTACTCCGTATCAAAAGTTTCGACCCGGGGGAGTAAAGTCAAAAAGTTTCCAAAAAGTGACTTTTTTGACGCGATAACATTTTTTTTCAAAAAAATTGGGCGTAGCCAATTGTAAAAGTAGGCTTTAAAAAATTTTTTGTTTGAATAAACCTATGATATCAGATTTGACAGGATAGTTATCAAGAAAAATCCAAAAAACGGTCAACAAATCAAAATTTGACATCTCCCAGAATCATAGAGTTTTTTTGTTTAAAAAAATTGGGCGTAACCGCTTATGCAGAGATTCACTAAGACCTTCAATTCGATAGAACCCAATAACTGAGATTTGGGAGGGTTGTACTCGAGAAAAACAAAAAATTTCAAAAATCAATACATCAAAATTAAAACTTTTTTGAGAGCCAGAGCTTTTTGTCTTAAAAATTTTGGGCGTATTCACATTTGCAAAGTCCAAAGGGTCTCGAAGAATTAATTTGAAACCCAATCGCACATAATTTCCTAATACATGTTTCCTCCGACAGGAATTCTAGGCAAACATTTCAAGCAAAACACCTGAATTTAAAATAGCAACGGAACAAAACTTGCAGACCAAAAACATAGCCGATAATCTTCGAGCAGACACCAGTAGATCGAAAAAGAAACCATTACAAAGTTTCAAGTCCATCCTGAACTACAATGGACAACAATTGCAACTACCATGATACTTGCTTACAGCAGAAAAAAATCAGTGATATGGCAACTAAGCCGACAAAACGAAAGCAGAAAACCAGAAAAATTTCGTGTTACATCTAGAGCAAGTGCAAAGCAACATGGAAGTAGCTTAGATTCAATACTAAGTCAAGTTGAAAAGTTATAGGACACTTTTTACGGGGGAAAAGTCTAGTTCCAGATTACAAGACACTATGATTTTGTTCAAATGCAAATGAAAAGAAAATTGTTTTCACCAATTTTTTGTTACAATTACTCATATTCATCATCATCATCATTGCGGCCTTATCCCGTTCAAACGGGTTCGGCGGGGCGCTCCTGAATCTTCGAGCGCCAGAGTTTGCGGTCGTCTGCGTCGGCTTCCGTCAGTCCTCGTCTTCTCATTTCCTCCTTCACGTCCTCTATCCATGTCTTTCTTGGTCTTCCTTTGTGCCTTTTTTCCAGGGACCTCAAGGAAAAACGCTTCTTGGATTGGACTACTATCTTCTCTACGCACGACATGCCCAAACAATCGCAATTTAGATTTTTCAACACAGTCAATAACGGTCTTCTGAATACCAAGTCGGCTCAAAATCGAGTCCGATGGAATGCGATCTAATAAGGTTACTCCACACATCATTCTGGTCATGCGCCTTTCCGTTGAAAGTAACCTGCGTTTGTGTTCTAATTTGAGTGTCCAAGTTTCACAGGAGCACGTCATCACTGGTCGAACACAAGCACAATGAATAATACCTCTTTGTTTCATGGACAATCCCCGTTTCCCGAGTAAAACCCCACCATGGTTATGAAACGCAAACCATGCCTTCTTGATACGCTCGTTTATAGCAATTTCACAGTATCCAGTAGCAAGCAACGTGTGTTCCAAGTAACAAAACTGACTAACACTCTCTTACTCGTCGAAACTGTTACGGGGTGCAGGATCACTTGCAGCTGGGGTTTGGCATGTAGAACACTGAAAACTCAACTCGTGTGGAGATAAACTTCCTCTAATACCCATTTTCTGCAAAGAGTGCACATAATCGAGTTTTTGCCAACTCTAGTTCCACAAATGCCGCAAGGATCGACAGCAGCAATACGGGTGACACTAGGGAGGTCTCCCATTCCCTTGATTTTGCCCACATTAACCCGAGGGCCTTACAATTACTCATACGAATATAAATATACTCATTCGATTTAAAACTTCAATAGGAACTTTCGGAAAGCTAGAACTAAACCGAACTTTCAAAAAATCCTTTCTGCGGGAAATTATCCGACAAAAATAAGTAGATGGACAATAATCTAAAATAGCCAAAAATTCTTATTTCAAAAAATCCTTTCTGCGGGAAATAAACCGACAAAAATAAGCAGATAGAAAATAATACAAGGCAAAAAATTTTTATTTCGAAAAACAAACAGGTCTCAATTGAAATCGAACCCCATTATTGTCTCAAGCTTAGGTGTTACAGCAACCTGGAGGAAAGTTGAACTTTCAAAAATATTTACGCTACAGTAATTAAGCCGACAGAAATAAACACACGATCGATAGTCCGAAAAAAATGGAACCGAAAGCCCTTACCGTCTCAAGACGATGTGTTACTTCTACGCCGGATGGTTGACTGAATTTATAAAAACATCTTTGTAGACAACACAGTAAAGTCAAAAATGCCTAACAAAAATTTACAGAAATTTTATTTTAAAAAATTGAAAAACTATACGCTGTGCCATCAGCTTGGATGGATTCAAAATGAAAAATGCTTTAAGCTAACTGTACACACTCTCGTATCATTAAATCGAAAATTTAAAAAATTAAGAAAAATGAAAAAAAAACATTTTAAGCTAAGTTTTAGCGTGTAAAGAAACAACTCCCTGAAAAATAGTAACGATCTTCAAAATTGAATTGAATAAAAGAGTCGAATTGAATATATTGTAAGTAAAAATCACCCGACAAATAAGCCAACAAGAAATTTGGAAGAAATCAACAAACCAACAAAAAATCAATTTGTAACTGAAAAATTTTCCAGCTGTATACCCAGTAACTCATTGATTCTAAACAGTGACTCTGGATCAATAATTAGAGCTGTTAAAAGTGCTACTTCGGTGAAATGGTTATCTTGCAAAAACAAAAATCCTGTGAACAAAGCTAGTTACGGGAAAAAAGTCTAGTACCTGAAGTACCTGATTGCAATAACCTTGCTTATCGCAAGGCTAATAAAAAAGATTGAATAGTTTTGCGAGATTTAAAAAAATCGCGAATGGCATTTTTTTGATGAGCAAAAAAATCCGAATGATTTTTAAAAGAGACAAGCTTATTCAGATGCCAGCCCACCCATTCATCTAAATGATCAGAGGACGAGCTAAAAAAGAATCTCAGAAATGCACAAAAAAATTAAAAATTCAAATTTAAACTCCATCCAAATTTAAAATTCCAAAAATCCAGTTCTCTGAATGATTTTTTTGACATCAGTTAAAACTAAAAACCACAGAGTCTTTATCTAACGGTAGCCAAGATAAATTATGCCAGAGGAAGAAGAAGCTCAAAAATCATAAAATGAAAACACCTGATTAAGTTTAAAGACTTATACTTTTCAAAAACTTTCAAATAATTCAATATGTGGAAACTAATTTTTTCAAACTCTCACAAAAAACTGACAAAAAAGTGATTAGAACAGAAACTGATACATGAAATACTAGGCAACAAGGAACATTTTACATTCGAAAAACAGAATTTCGAAAATGAAAATTTCGATAAAAACACCAAAATTTTAGGAAAACAAATAAATATGCGAATAACGCACATCATTGAATCAATTAAGCAAAAAACATAAACAAAAACAATTTGAATTTGAGCGGGACTTGAAAAAGAAACAATATTAGAAACTTTCAAAAATAAACTTTTCAAGCAAAATATCGAAGATGGTATTTTTAATTTAATTTAATATAACCAAATGCAGAACTAAAGCAATGTAACATGATACACAGAGGCGAACAAGAACTTTGCACCACTTGCGAACCAGAAAACTAAAATTTCAGCACAACAAAAATGAACTAGCGGAAAGAAAGCTTAAAATTTTTGAGCAGACACCCGTTGTGCCAAAAAATGTTTTCATCTATTTCTTTTTTTTTAATCATAATTTTTTTTTTAATTCTTTAAAATTATTCAAAAAATACAAATTAAATAAAAAACAAAAGTCAATTATCTTAACCGATGAACTTATGGGTCTCTCGAAATTGCATTAACAATTCTCAAAACAGACGGACGACAGCCCGAAAAA